AGCAGGGGAGGGGCAGAGAGAGAGGGAGAACAGAATCTGAAACAGGCTCCAGGCTCTGAGCCGTCAGCATGGAACACGACACAGGCCTCGAACTCGCGAACCAGTGAACCGTGAGATCATGACCTGAGCCGAAGTCGGACGCTTAACTGACTGAGCCACCCAGCCCTCCCGGGAAACGACTTTTAACTGCAATCGTATTTATTCTAAACACAATTCAAGGATGCCAACAACACATAATTTCTGACCCTTGCTGATCTGTACCGATGGGTTTTTATGAGCCAAGACTTCCATGCGTCCGAGGGGGGGACACGGAGGCCATGGGGGCCAAGGTTGCCTGGGGGGGCAAGGGTTCACGGGAACAAAAGTGCACAGAAAACGTGGGCGCGCAGTTTGATCCGCACACTTGAGGTTGCCGGCCGCTCTGGTTTCTCTCCATTAGTAGCGTCTGCAGACCTTCTCACCTGCCACACCGCTCGGTAAATGAACCCGCCTCTGGGCGCGTGTAGCCCACTCCTCCTGCCGGTGCTAATGAGCAGTGAAAGGACCCGGTGCTGAGCAGCGGGAGGTGAAAGACAGGGTCTGGCTAATTGACAACATAGGTAATTGCTTCCTGAATAATTGAGGGGCGTCTCTGGGGGAGGGAGCTCGGGCTCAGCTTGTGTCCGAGCTGTGCACCAGGGAGGCTGTGACCCCGTCCTTCCCGGCCCGGTCCCGCCGGAAGGCGCAGGTCGCCGGAGCGTGGGGTGGCCGGCAGTGGGGACCCCCGCGCCCCTCCCTGGGGTTCGCTGCTGTGGCCCGATGAGCACCTTCCCACAGAAAGCAACCTCTAAGGACTGGAGGGACCAGAGCAGCGTGTGAGGCTTCGATATCGTTAATGTTCTACGATCTTCACGGAGCCTCAACCTGAAGGAAGTGTGCACTTTGTGGGGTGGGGGCGGTGACAGAGGGAAAATCATAAAAGTGTCCTGACTCCAAGGGTGACGTCCCGTATTACAAACCAGTTCACTCTCTCTTCAGCAAATCAGCGTGATCGCTTTCGTGGGCTCCAAAGTAAGTCTTACGTTTGAGCCTTTTCTTTAAGAATAAAACCGTTTAAAATTCCTAAGAGAAACCTCTCCTTATTTTAAAACTGAGCGCCCGACTTAGAAACAAAAGCGTTCCCGCCAAGTGCGGCTTTGAGGCTCCGCTTTCCAGATGTGCTTTGCTGGAGAGGGATGGGAACACAGTGAGGCGATGACGGCCCCTCGCGGGCTCCGGGGAGGAGCAGACCTGAGATGACCCCGAGTGGCATCACCCACTGACGCCTCAGAGGCACTGGAGGAACTAAGTGGGCACCACGGTCCACCAGGCGCAGAGGGCAGCCGCCAGCCACAGGGGAGCCACAGGAGGAGACGAGGAGGTGAGAAGGCAGGCGAGACCAGGGTCCCACAGGAGCCGGTGTGTGAATGAGCTCGTGCTGTCAGCTCACCTTCGACCACACGCTTGTAGGCGTAAACGTCAGGACACCAACACGCTCCTCAAACTCTGGGTGACAAATCGCACGCTTTCTGCTTAACCTGAACTTCACCGGCGCTTTGCGCACTGACACATCTGAGCGCAAGTAAAATGCAAAACCATTTCGAGCTCTTCATTCGGGGTCGTTGGCTGAAGGAGAAAGAAAAGGGAGCCCCCGTGTGCTTGGTGCCTCCCGTATGTTTGCCAAATTACCCCGAGTCACCCTGACAGCGAGCGGAACGTGTCACGGAGCCCTGAACTTCAAGCGGGATCAGCGCTGCGACAAACACGTACAAGAGTGGCGTGCGATGGCCCCAAGGTAGACCCCAGGTTGGGTGAGGGGTAACATCAGCGAGAGGGGTACTGTGGCGTAGCGGGAAAGCGCGGTTCGTGTAACGAGGGATTAGCGGCAGAGCTCACTTCTCCTGGAAGGAAATGAGATCGTCCTTCTATATGTAAAGTATGGATTAAAAATTTAAACGTAAAAAAAATAAAATAATCCTCACACAACTATATGAGCAGTTAGCAAATGAGGCTGAGTTTTTCCATTTAATACCCACAGAGGGATGCCAGCCTCGCACCCTTTGGCCGCAAGGTCTGTCCTACGCAACAGGCGGGTTTCCCATCAGAGACTGCAGAGGCTGAGTGCCAGGAACGGAGGGTGAGTGGCCCATGTGCTCCTAGGGGGGGAGGGAGCGGGCTGAGCCCGCCCTCCCCTCCTCGGGTGCCCTGAGCGCACCCCCAAGCCCGCGGACCTCTTTGCACATCCCATCCCCTCTGCCTGGAACATGAGCACCCCACCCACTTTTAATCTGAACCCAGCAATTAGCCTTTAAAACTCAGATCAGATTCCACCCCTCCCCAGAGAGCCCCCCTGGCCCTCCCAGAATGGGTTGGCTGCAGCGCGTCCCAACGTCCTCGTGCCCCAGTGAGAACGGTTTTCAGGTCATCTACCCTAGCAGAAAGCGAGTGCTCGGCGCTGAACTCCTTAAAGAGTGGGATTTCACCCCACAATCGCTGCGTCCGCAGTCCTACGGCCTGGCGGGCCACGTGGCAGGAAACACGGCATTTCCACGCAACGTGGCCTGGTACGTTCTCCATCACCTCCTGAGGGTTAGCCCACTCTTGCTCTGGGTCACACGGGCCCCACCTGCCTTGCCAGCATTGCACGGTGTTTGGAAAGCGTTGCCACGTAGGGAAGCAATTTCGGAGCATCGATGCGTTACCCCGAGGTGCTGTCGACCCACACCGCGAACCCGCGCAGCGTGCCTGCCCCCGGGGAGCTCGCTCCCTGTGCCCCGGCTGCGATGCCAGAGCAAGGGTGGGAAGGCGGGCGCACAGCGGAGCCTGCATCACACTGACTGTTCCTGAAACGTCCCTCGCGGCCATCTTTGTCTTCTTGCGTCTCTGTTCCGGACGACCGCGCTCCAGGAGGCAGCCAGCACCCCGACGGGGCTCCTTCTCCCAGCGCCATCCGTCTCCGCGGACACCCCCTTGCTCCCACCACAGGCTCTCAACCCCCGCTGAACCAATCTGTTTCCACAATACACTCGAGACATCCCGGCCCCGTGCCCAAGGGTCGGCCGCAGCTGTACACCCACTGGGGCAGCAGGGCCCCCTCTGGGTGTGCCAGGCCCTCGACGTGCCCCCCACTCTCCCCGAGGCTGCGGCCCCCAGCCCCCACCCGCTCGTCAGGACCGACCTTGCCGGCACCAGCTCCGTGACGGCCAGCTTCCCGGGAAACACACCCACCCACTCCCACTCCCTCTCTCTCGCCCACGACTGGGTCTCTCGCGTCTCCATACAGGCTTAAAACACGACCTGTTTCTTGTTTCGTTCAGGTAGTGCTTCAGCCGCGAAGATTCCCCTGTGAAGCCCTTTCTCCGTGACCCGCCTTCTCAGATCCGAATCTGATTGAATCTACAGCCCTACATCTGCACACACACACACGTCTTCCGTTAAAAGACACGACACTCATTAAATGAGCTATGTTTTTTATTGTATGTGTGTTTCATTTGCCGCCATACTCAGCACACAGTATTAATGAATGAGGGTCTGGCGGTCAGTCGGCGGGAACACTGACTCAGGAGCCTGGTGTCGCACTGCCTGAGCATTGCGTCCGCGAAGAGCCACCCCTCGCCGGCAGCTGCTTGTGACAGCAGACCTGCCCTGCTCTCTCCCTCGTGGGAGTCTGACCGACCACATGTCCTTACGACCCTTCTGTGCCCCGCTGCGACCTTCTCGTCCTAAATTGCAGGGCAGGCGAACCATGCATGGAGGAGAGGACACCTCGTGCCCCTGTCTTCTGCCTCCTGGTAGCTTGGGTGGGCAAGGACATCACAGATGGGGCTGAAATTTCCTGTCCTCATGATCAGACGGACCGGTCTTACCGCTCTCCTCCCATCAGCCCCCTTGTTCTGTTGAGTGAAATTCTCCTTCTATGCGACTTTGCGTGTATAAATTATCCAGACATGTGGAAATACTGGGTGTACCAATACACTAGCACATGTCCGTCCCTCCAGCACTGGTCTTAAAAATGATGTGTAGGGGCACCTGGGTGGCTCAGTCGGTTAAGCGTCTGACTTCAGCTTGGGTCATGATCTCGTGGTCTGTGGGTTCGAGCCCCGTGTCGGGCTCTGTGCTGACAGCTCGGAGCCTGGAGCTGCTTCGGAGTCTGTGTCTCCCTCTCTCTCTGCTCCTCCCTGGCTCGTGTTCTCTCTCTCTCTTTCTCTCTCTCTCTCCCTCCCTCTCAAAAATAAATGAGTAAACATTAAAAAAAAAAAAATGTTGTGTAGAGACAAGTGGCTTGGTTTCAGGGCCCTGAACCAAAACTCCTAGTTAGACGGTCTTGGGCAAGTCCCATCTACAAAACAGTTGTAAAGATACCTTTCTTAGAAAATTGTGAGGATCAGACACAATAACACGCAAAAATGCTCGGTAGTCTGTGACCTGTGAAATGGGCTGGTTACCATGAGCAAAGGGCCTCGTCCCTGGAAAGCATCCTAATGATTTGGAGAAGTGTGGATGGTGATTATACCCGGAACTAGATGACATGGCATCAGCCCCCGGCTTAGACATGTCCTGCCACACCTGCCCGCCCCCCTTAACTGTGTGATCGGATTCAACTTTGGGTTCCGAGGAGATTCCAGCCTACACGTATGAACCTTCCTGCAAACTATAAGGGCTACCTCTCAGGTGCTGGCTACAAAGTGCGACTCGGAACTCCCGCCAAGGTCTCCCAATCGGTCTTTGAAAAGGGCAAAGAGGCTGTGCTTAAGCTTCATCAAAGCGCCCCCCCCCCCCGTTACAGAGGGTGGGGCCTCCCGCTGACCTTGCGTCCTCTGCAAGGTCAAGGTCCGCTTTGCTTTGTTAAGTGACACAGTTAGATTACCTGGTGCTTTCCCCCCACGTCGCTCTCCCAGAGGGTTGCCCCATAGCCACTAAGACGCCCGTGTTTGGCCACATGCGCTGCTGACCGAACTGACCGCCTGCTCGTCTATCCGCAGATGGAGGTGGACGCCGAGGAGAAGCGCCATCGGACACGGTCCAAAGGGGTTCGAGGTAGGTCCGCGCTTCTCCAAGCCCCCGGAGGCCCCGTTCAGGGTCCCCTTTGTCCTGCGGAGCTGGGCGTGAGGGTCACTCGGACCTGCTCTGACACCACCCTCTCAATAGCTTTCTGTGGGAGAGGGCGCGTGTGATCGATGATAAATCTCTGTTTCCCATCTCTCTGCAGTTCCCGTGGAACCAGCCATACAGGAGCCCTTCAGGTTAGTACTCCTTGGGCACGATGTATCCCCAGAAGCCGTGTAGAGAACCCATGCCTTTTAATGGGCACTCCGCTCCCCTCCCGCCCCCGGTCTGTCGGCAGCTTGCTCCTACCCTGCTGCACTGATGGAGGCAACTCCCTGAGACCTGCTAAGAAAAAGCAGCCCTAATGGTTCTCTCCTCCCAGATTTGCCTCCTCTCCGTCCCTCTGTGTGCCCCTCCCCCGATGCCACCCGCCTGTGTGTGCGCTCGGCCCCACCCGCCTGCAGCGAAGCCCCCATGTAATTACCTCTTTCCCGTTGCAGCTGTCCCACGCCGGGCTGTGATGGCAGCGGTCACGTCAGTGGCAAATACGCAAGACACAGAAGGTAACGGCCGCCTTTTTCACTATATACGGTCTACAGTGGCTTGTTGAGGGACCCAGACCCAAGGACGAAAATGAGTGGGGGGTATTCCTGGAAAAGAGCGAGTGCCGTCTTTTCCTCTACTCCTCTGCTGTGAATTCAGCCTTTGGTTTCCCGGGCAGGGTCTCAGAGGGTGGGCAGAATTCACGATAATGCATAAGATGACACAAATTAAGACCAGCCTTAAACTCATTTTCCCACACACACAGGGCACCTGCTAAGAGCCTCCCTCTGCCTCCCTGGGATGGCTTATTTGTCCGTGCCCACGTGCTCATTCTGGTAGCTGCAGGGTGGCAAGTCACGGATGATAAATTAAAGTGCGACCTTCCTGATCCTTCTGGAGGAGCTCAGCTTCCATAATTTATCTGTCCTGGGAAAGGAAGCCCAGGTGGGCACCTGGGCAGCTGCTGGGGGAGGTCCCGGCAGGAGATTAACGTCCAGGACAGATCACACTAATGAGACTTTGGGGCTTAAACGATTATATTATTCTTGCAAACACTGGAGTTTAGGTCCATAACGGCACTGGGTGTGAACATCCAGGAGATCAGGTGGCTAGATAATTATTGCTAAAAACGCATCACAGCAGAATTGCATTGCACATCTAGGGCTGAGAGTCATGAAGAGATCAATCTTTAGATTTACTTTTGCATAAGGAATTTCTTCCCTGTGCTATTAATGTAGCTTTACCTTTCAAGGGAAGGTTTTGGTCGTGAGGAGTTGGAGATCTTTACAGGCTAGAATAAATTTTTAGCTAATTTTTCACAAATTAGGTTGCGAGGACTAAGGTCGTTCATCCTAACAAATCATCAAGAAGGAAGCCCACGTAATGAAAGCTCAGACCCTCGACCAGGTGTGCCTGAAACACCTCAGGGTGACCCTGCCTGCGCTGCCCTACGTTTCATTTCCTCTTCAGCTGAACATTAATTTATGGGTGAAATCAAGCAATTATTTTGATTGTCCTTCAGTAAAATCAAGGGGAAAATTACAAATTACTCCCCAAACCCCCATGCTAGCATCTAAGGAGACGGGGAATTTTTAACAAGCATCCATGATGAAATGGTTATCAGACTTCTCTACATACCAAAGGAACAACAGGTCGTTTCTAAGGGAATCTGGCAATTTAAAACCTAAATTCAATTTATCATATTATTATTGTTATTGTATATTATAGTAAATTATTGAGTATGTAAGTTAAATAATTAGTTTACTTAAAGTATGTTATTTTATTTTATAAGAATTTATTTTGTAAATTCTTAATCTAAAGGTTTTTAAAACCACATTGCTTATGTTTTCAATGAAAAACAAGTTAGCAAGCCATGAATGAAATCAAGGTTTTCCATTATTCCTCTCTTGATTAGTCAATAGTTAAAATTTATCATACTGTTACCAGAAGGAGTGATTACATTTGGCTAGAAAGTTTGAATTAGATGTTAGCTAGACAATTCATCACCACGGTTTTTCAGGAAAACCCATGACGTTTCCAAAGAATCCTCTGAAACACATTCTTACCCAAAGCGCATCAAGCGGTGTGTCCGTGTCCCCACGTGACATGGGCATGCACACCTGCCTGTGAGGTCTCTTTCCCCGCGTGCACAGAACTTTGGCGCTTAGCTTGGGGGTGGCCTCAAGACCACCAGCCTGCATTTTCTTCTGGGACACGATGCGGGTGTGAGCACAGAGCGTGCGAATCTTCCAGGAGTGATGGGGCCGGCACTTTAGAGAAGGGTCACGGAAACATCCGATTTTAGACAATTTTTCAACCCATTTCTAATTGAATTTAAAATAATGTCATAATTTTTATCACAAGTCATATTCTACGTAATTGTTAAAATTTCTAACACTTTGGTAGAAATAGTTAATGTGGTGGTGGCGGACGAAGGACTTTCCTCCAGCACCACGGCCCCACGAGTCAGCGAGGGGCATTGGACAGATTACTGAACATTTAGGACTTCGATTTCCTCAGTTTTTGAATGAGATACTTGCAGACTTTGTTATGTAGAACTAATCACCATTGAGAACTCATGTGACCACATAAGCCGCTTCTCGACAAGACTGTCAGGGCTGTCCATTTTATTTTTGATGTCTATATGTTGTCAATAATTCTCTACGACAGTAGACACACAATGTTACATTAGCATCAGGCGTGCAGCACAATAATCTGACAGCTCCATACGTTGGGCTGTGACCATCACAAGCGTAGTCATCATCTGTCCCCGTACGACACCGTTACAGTATCGCCGACCGTGTCCCCTGTGCTCTGCCTCTCATCCCCGTGACTCACTCATTCCGCGACCAGAAGCTGTGTCTCCTCCTTCCCTTCACCCGTCTTCCTCCTTCCCCACCCCCATCCCTCTGGCAGCCACCAGTTCGTCCTCTGTACGTAGAGGTCCGATTCTGCTTTTTGTGTGTTTCTTTGGCTTTTTTTTAGATTCCCCATATGTATTTGCCTTTCTCCGACTTATTTTACTTAGCATAATACCTTCTTTTTATGGCTGAATAATATTCCTACATATATATACACATACGACGTGGTTTTTCTCCACTCACCTACCAAGAGACACTCGGGCTGCTTCCATATCTTGGTGATTATAGCTAATGTTGCAATAAACATAAGGGTGCATAGAGCTTCTCAAATTAGTGTTTCGTTCCATCTGGGCAAATGCCTAGTAGTGAAACCACTGGATCATAGAGTAGCTCTGTTTTCAGTTTTCTGAGGAGCCTCCACCCTGGTCTCCGGTGCTGCTGCACCAGTTTGCATTCCCGCCAACAGCGCACGAGGGTTCTTTCCCCACCTCCTCGCCAGCACTTGTTTCTTGCGTGGTTGATTTTAGCCATTTCTGACAGGTGTGAGGTGAGGTCTCATTGTAGTTTTTGATTTTCATTTCCCTAGTGATTACATATTACCGGTAATTTTTAACTAAGGGATGACATTTGAACTACTTAAACCGAAAAGGTGCTTCTCGTACTAGATGAGACTCATGTATACATTAACATCTTGTGACTGGTGTTATTTCAAATCTGTAACATTTCAATTATTTCTGGCTTTAAAAGATTCCCTGCTACCGAAGTCTCTCCCCTCTGACAGCTATTTATGTACATAAGTGTCTGCACGCACCCCACAGCCCAGGTGTGGCCCTGACCTCCGTACCCACAGCACGGGCGTGGTCCTGACCTCGTACCCACAGCACAGGTGTGGCCTTGACTTCTCTGCTGTTCCATCCCCAACGAGACCCAGCCTCTTCCAGTGTGACAAGAGTGGCAGCCTGGGTCTTGGTTTTGATGAAATTACCCACCCTTTTGGTATTTTAGCAACATGATATTCAGGGAATGTGTTTTCATTTTATTAGGGATATAATTTCATTTTATTCGTATATCATGTCAGTTCGTAGTCAAGTAAAAAGGTACTTTAGTATGTGGACACATCTATTTATTTGAACACGCGGAAAGTAATTCGAGGCAGGTGTGGGAAATCTATACTGCGCTTGAACAAAAGACAGCCTGTTCATGGGTATGTTTTTATTTTCTTTTAAGTGTATTTCTTTATTTTGAGGGGAAGGGGAGGGCAAAGAGCGAGAGAGAGGGAGGGAGAGAGTCCCCAGCCGGCTCTGTGCTGTCACTACACAGCCTGACATGGGGCTTGATCTCATGAACTGTGAGATCTTGACCTGAGCTTCAGTCAGACGCTCAACCACCTGAGCCCCCAGGTGCCCCCACGGGCATTTGTTTATGTTCACGGGTCATAAACAGTCTGAAGTAGCTGGTAAACACGTGTGCAACTCTGCACAATTAAAAGTTGGATCAAAGATGTAAATTAGGAAGCACGTGAGGGAAACAGGAACATACTTTTACCAGAAACCCAGGATGTGTCAGGGGTTTGAGCAGAGCATTGCGTTTTGTTCTGAGTCTTTGGGCAGCTGAAGCAAAAATGGGAAAAAAGAAAGACAGAGTTCCACTACCTGGTGCAAGTGGTACATCAGTCCCTTAGTGCCGGAGGTAAACACATCTGAATTGCCATCCAGTGACCAGCAGGGATCCAGGCTCAGTCAACACTCTGTGCCCTGGAAGACAGAATAAGGACCAGGCCCCTCATGAAGCTAATCAACATCAGAAACGTTTCTCTTCAGAAGCATCGTTGGTATCTGGACACATGAGTCTGACTTCTGTTTTTCCCACCTGAGGTTTCGTGTTACCACCATACAAGTGTGACAAAAACACTACGGACTTGGCGATCAGGGCAGAAATAAGTCTCCTGTTATGAACCAGGGCACTAACATAGCCTCTTCTGTATGCAGTGAGTGACCTCTTCCTTTGGACTCACTGTCACACAGCCTCACATGTGGCTCAGTGAATTCTGCCTCCCTGAGTGCATACGACCTTTCTTAGCGATACTTACAGGTAGCCAGAGACCCTTGTGTATCTCAAACATGGGTCCAACTACGGGGCTTCTCTGTAGATGGGAAAACTCACTTCTTTTTCAATGTTTATTCATCTTTGAGAGAGACAGAACACAAGCAGGGGAAGGACAGAGAGAGGGGGAGACACAGAATCCGAAGCAGGCTCCAGGCTCCGAGCTGTCAGCACAGAGCCCGACGCGGGGCTCGAACTCATGGAGTGTGAGATCATGACCTGAGCCGAAGTCGGACTCTCAGCCGACTGAGCCACCCAAGTGCCCCAAAACTACCTATCTTAAGTGGGTTTTCCAAAGTCTTCGATGCCCAAGTTCAGGGACAGGAGCTTCCTGAGCCCCCTCTGCTCTCCTCCGCATCACCTCCTTTCCCAGAGTGTAAGCATGTCAGACGCCCATGGGTGAAAAACCACTGGTTTCCCACATGTCCACAGCTATCTCTGCTGTGGGAAGGTGGCAGAGAAAATGGAATGTGTGGAAGCTACACCCTTGGAATTCAGGGAGTTGCTGGCCCGTGAATGTGTTGGCGGAGAAGGGGCCAGGCCAGGTGGGAAGTGTG